TAGTTCACTAAAAAAGGAAATACAAAGCAGGGCGTAGTCCCAGTAACTAGGTAGGCTAAAAGCAGAGGATTCACAAGTTAGAGGTCAGCCTCTACAACTTAGCAAGATCCTGTCTCAAAATAAAAAATGGCCTGGGGATGTAGGTCAGAGGTAAAGTACACTGGGTTCCAGCCCCAGTAAAAAAAAGGAACCATAAAATGAGCTCATCAATATGCTTTATTTAATGCTAAGTGATATGTCTCACAAAAATGCAAAAAAAAAATTTTTAGTTTCCCTATTTTTAGACAAGTAATTCTCATATAAAAGTAACATTACAGGCTAAGAAGATAGCTCAGTGTAGAGCAAGTGCCTAGCATACAGTGACTCCCTGAGTTGGAGCCCCTGCTCTGCATATTAAATACATAAATAAATAGATAAAGCGAGAAACAATATGCAAGTTACATCTGGAACCCATTCACATACCTATTTCTTCTATTAGTTTTACACTAAAATACTGTCTTTATAACATCATATATATGTGTGTATATGTGTATATGTGTGTATAAAATGCAAAATGGATATGATATAAAAATAATTAGCTGAGTTTATCTTATTAACGATAATGATTCATATTCAAGATATTTTGCTGCAAAAGACAATATAATCCATTAAAGCAAAATCACATACATCAAGTTCAAAGAAAAAGTCCTGTTCTTTGGATGCAATTTCATAATCTGCTCTTAAAGCCAGGTCATGGACTTTCAGACATTCTCCAAGATCCATTCTCTAGGGGAGAGAAAAAAAGAGAATATTGAAATAGAAAACATTTTTTCACAAATTTACTACAATTCACTTATCACTACAATTCTCTTCTGAATATATATTAAGCCATACATATGCTTCGTTACTTATGGACCTTCAAATTACAACATTTCACAGACAAGTATAAAACTTGGTATTACAAAGAAACTGCAATGGGCTGTGGTTGTGGCTCAGTGGTAGAGCACATGTAAGGCCCTGGGTTCGATCCTCAGCACCACGTAAATTTAAATAAATAAAATCAAGGCATTCTGTCCAACTAAAAATAAGAAAACATTTTGGAAGGAAGGAAAGAACGAACGAACGAACGAACTGCACCAATTCTGGCTACAAATGAAAGAGTGAACGTTTTTAAACTTATGAACATATCTGTAAGAAAAAGCTTTTCAGAATCTTAAAGTTTCAAGCTCCTATATTATAGCATATTTCATTTATTCCCATAACAGAAAGATATTCAAAGTTAATTTAAAACAAAACTGAAAGATTATGTAAACCAAACTGCTGAATTAGGGTCAATTTTTTTTTTTTTAAATGTGGTGCTGAGGATCGAACCCAGTGCCTTACATGTGCTAGGCAAGTGCTTTACAACTGAGCCACAGTCCCAGCCTGGGGGGGTCAATGTTCTTTGAAGAGCATTCTGTTTGTCAAATAAAAATTCCTTAAAAAAAAAAAAA